AGAGAGAGAGAGAGAGAGAGAGAGAGAGAGAGAGAGAGAGCGCTTGACGACAACTCGCACGATCTGGCCGCTGCGATTCACAGTTACGCGACATATGACTGTGACGAAACGGTCTGCGCACAGTGAGGTAACACGGCCAGGCCACGGGAACCGGTTTGCCCGTTGGGAAAGCAGCCTTCCCACACGGGCAAACCGGTTCCCGTGGGCTAGGCTGCTTTCCGAAAGGGCAAACCGGTTCCCGTGGGCAAAGGCAAACCGGTTGTAACATCTGGGCCGTCGGGACCTTTCGGATTGACGATCCCGATCGGCGCGCAGTTTTTAGATCTGAAGACTGTGCACCGATCGGGACCGTCAATCCGAAAGTTCCCGACGGCCCAGATGTTACATTTGTTACATCGCACAATTGATCTGGGCCGTGGGCCGGTAGGACCGACGACGGCCCAGATCGGCGATTTGTTACATACTGCGGGATTAGCAGTTTCTATAGTGTAGGGACACCACGAACAACGGGTCGTCTTCTTAACCATCTACTTTGCCCTGCTTTCCTAAAATTACGCTTACCATGATTCTCATTTGAAACAATACCAATGGTAGCTCAACATTGAGAATTTCCATGATGAGCCCACCGACTTGCCGGTGGAATAGGAACTGGAACTGGACTGACGCTGCCCAGAATGGATATGGAGCCCGGACCGTGAAGTGAGGTCCTGTTTTTCCCGAAAGAAAGAAAAAAAAGGCGACGAAAAACGCATGATGCGCCAAAGTTCAAGCAGAAGGTGATTCTTTCTTGTAAAAAAAAAAAAAAAAAAAAAAAGTTCAAGCAGATCCAGACGAAAGTAGAACAAGAATATTTTTCTAGAAAGGGAATTCCCCAAGGATCTACTGCATCAATACCTTTTGGAGGCCAAAATAGGTATTCGGCCTCCGAAAGGTATTTGATCAAAGAACCCCCCCCAACATTACCTTTCGCCAAATTCGCCGGCAATTTCTAGGCACCAGAGACTTGAACGGAAGAAAGAAAGCACCCCCCCCCCAAAAAAAAAGCTACAAAAAAACATTACTTTTCATTACTCGCACTCATTCAACTGCAGCAAAACAAAATCATACCTGGCAATCGCCGGCACCAACACGGGCAAAGATGGAGTCTCTGACGCTTATCTCTGCGCGATCGCAAGGCACAAAGCATCCAACTTGAGCCATGAGCACGACGACGCCGACCTGCAACGTGCATGTCATTGGATCAGTACCTCTGGGCCTCCTCAGCCCTCCTTCGTGCAAGCAAGCATGGACTCAAAACGGCGACCTTGGCCTCAAAAACCAAATATCGTGACCACTACAGCCAGGGCACAGTGTTCAAAAGCAGAACCATACCGGCTGTGATATCTGGCCCAGCCCCGCAAGGCTGTATCGTCCACAGTCAACGCACACCACACGCAACACCACACTCAACACACACCACATGCAACACCACATGGACGCTGGCAATCACCGCACAGTTCGCTCCAAGTAGCACATGACCCCCGTCGGTAGTATAGCCCGCTCACTTATGCGGGACTTTAACTGCCCGCCAGTTCACGGGAGCTTTCCAATGTGCATGCCAATCAGCCCTGCAATTAGTATGAGACAGCGGGTTCTTCGTGGCGGCTTCTCCCTAAAATGTTGTGCACTGCAGTTATAAGTCTCTCTCTTTGAAAAAAAAAAAAAAAAAAAAAAAAAAAAAAAAAAGCAACTCTCTGTTGCTGAGAAAAAGCTGGCTTTTGTGGTGAAGTTTTTTCTGAGTCCTTGCCCGAAATTTGCATCCATTGTGTGTTTTAACTTTTCCCATGGGATGAATTTGTGCCTTTCACTAAGCCTTGGGGCTGATGGCTATCCCAAGGTACTACGTTCCTTCTGCGCGTGCTGTTGTTCCGTGTCTCGGAAGGGACACAACTACAAATAAGGGTAACTACAAGAACAAGACTGAGCCAGTAGAGGGAGACAGAGGTAAACGGAGGACGGACAGGGGCATAGGAGCAAAACATTTGTGGCTACAAAGTAGGGATTTTTCCCCAGCAAATTGAAGCAGACCTTACTTAGCCTGGTAAGATTAAACCACCAGTACTTGTCCCATCCATTTTTTTTTTTCCCCGACACGGCCACTAATGGGCAGCAGTTTCGGGGGGGGTCAGCTACTGGGGCAAACTGGCTGGCCGCGCCCAAAGGAAGTTGCGCCCGTTCGCTTTTTTTTGGCGAGCAGGGCGTTTCCAGCCTCGGCAAGGGAAGGGTCAAAATTACTGGTCGATCCAGCGGCCTACCATCTTCACCCGAATAGAACGCCCGGTCATTATAGCTGTACTTGGGGGAACTTCCAGTCCAGATACAGCGATAATTACCGAGCGTTCTATTTGGGTGAAGACGGTAGCTCAGGTGGTTAGGCAAACAAAGTTGCATTCGGGAGGTCGGGGGTTTAATGAAAACTTTAATCCCCACAAGATTAGCCAGCGCAGCTCCGCTCGCGACAGAAAAGGTTAGGCGGAGTAATTCCATTCGGTAGGTATGAGAGCTCAGAGTAGCTGACAATAGAGAGTAGCTGAGAGTAGAGATATGGGACGCTGGGCCCGGTTACCAGCACGTGCTGCTCCTGACGAATAGATTGGATCATTTTGTCCCCCCCCCCCCCCCCCCAACAAAAAAAAACAAAACAAAAAAACAAGAGAGATTAGAGTACACCGAGAGAAGAGTAGACTCAGCAGAGAGTAGAGTGGAATATAGCATAGAGTACAATAGAGTGAAATAGAGAGTAGAGAGTAGGGTAGATCAGAGTAGACAGTGTTAAGTGTAGACACAGTGCACAGTACAGTAGAGAGAAGACAGCAAAGAAAAGAGTTGACGGGAGTATAGGGTAGAGAGAAGAGTAGAGTAGAGTTTGGCGTAAGAATAGAGAGTACTGCAGGTTATAGCGTACAGAGTAGTGTAGAGTTGCTTTGGAACTGGAGAGTAGCAAGCATTGCGTAGAGAAGAGGGTCGTGAGCGGCTGAGGGTGGAGTAGACAGTAGCATAAGGTCAGACGTGTCCACAGTGAGAAAAACAACATTGATTACGACTCACCAAGAGAAACAGGGCCGCTGGCAATCCAGGGGCTAAATTTTCCCATTTGTTTCTGTCGCTACTCACCAAATTCACAGAAGAATTAAGATACGGCAGTGTGCATCTTCGGACCTTGTAGTGGAAGATTCATTTCGATTTCGCATTTTTTGGTGAGTCGTGCAGAAAGGGCCACACCTGCGGTCGTAAATCCCAACAGGCTTAAAAAAAAAGGCAGACGTGTCCAGGGAAGTCGTCATGGGACTTTTTAAGTTAGCTCCGGACGCAATCGGAGTCGCGTCGATCCAGGCTGGTCTGTAATAGAGGGGAGATAAGCCCAGCAAATTGATCAGCTGAGTATGCCCTGACTCCACCGCTCAGGCCCCAATGCGCGGGTGTTTTTTTTTCTTTCTCCCCCCAATATTATCAAGGGAAGCAGCGGTGAGGTATCATCATTGAATTGACCGTGCCGGAAATGCAGTAGGATTTTGTTCTGTTAGACTCATCGGTAGATGAGTTGTTAGACCACCAAACCTATTTTCTATCTTGTACTGTTAGAGTGATTGGTCTGCCCGCGGCTGAAAGGGTTAGGGAAGAGAAACATCGGTCAGTATTTTTGGCGACAGGAATATGTTTCGGGTATCAGAAAGGAGCCCCAAGAAAAAGGTGCACGGAGTGCAGCGTAGAGGGAAAACAATTGGGAATGGAATGATGTGTTAGAGTAAGGCAGTCCAGGAACACAGAGGACCTTTGTCAAACATACGGAAATGTTTTTTTTTCAAGGGTGGAAGTACCATGCGAATTTGTGGAAGGTGAAAACCTTCCCAGCAGGAGAGGAAGTCGTATGGACGTTTCTTGAGACTTACATGGTGTACATGATGGTTTGTATAACTTTGTAACAATCGGAGGGCGAAAATGGGTCCAGATACTGTATAGAGATGCAGAAGGCTGTGTCCAAGTCAATGGACTACTATCAGAATGCTACACGATCTCCCGTTCGGTCCGTCAAGGGGACCCTTTGGCCCCCTCAATCTTTCTATTCGTGATGGAGGCAATCGCATCCTTCCTCCGTAAGGATCCATCAATTCAAAGGCTAGCCAGCACAGACGTCGGTTCAACCCACCAAACGGACGTTCCAATAGCCATCATGTTCGCTGACGATTTAACGGTCCGAATCAGAGCATCTGATTCCTCATTCAGGTCTCTAGCTAAAGCAATGGAAGCGTTCGAACGAGCCTCAGAAATGAACATCAACTGGGGAAAAACAATCGGCTGGTGGCTATCCGAGGAAGAGCCCCCCTCGCTCCAAGGGGACGAGGCAGCAATGACGTGGCAAACGCCGGACACACCCACCCGCTATCTGGGCATATTATTGACGAAGGAAGGACTGGCTCCCCAAATGGGCCCTTCTATGCTAACCAAACAGATCAATAAAATTGGAAGATGGGGCAACRCCTTCACRTCCCTCATCGGTCGAGCACTAGTCCTCAATACATCGATCTTTTCAATGATGTGGTACATCGCTTCCATTTGGACAATCCCTGACAGTTCGCTTAAGGAACTGAATCGAAGAGCTAGGCTGTATCTATGGACAGGAGACCCTAACAAGGAAAAAGGAATATCCAAGATCGCCTGGCACTACGTTACAGGAAGGCCACGTAATGGAGGCCTAGGAATTATCGACCCCGGAACAGAAACGAAAGCCCTACAAATCAAATGGATCATCAAACTACTGATGAATCCAAACAGCGCATGGAACAAGCTCGCACTGGACAGTATCAGATCCGTGGCCCCAATTCCCTCCCCAAACGATATGTCAGGCCTGTTCTGGGTAATGAATAAAGAATGGGTGATAAACACAGGACGTAGGAACCGAACGAGGAATAACAGGCTCAATGACCCCCGTCCGCCTACACCTTACTGGCCGGCATTACTCCGATCCTGGAGGAAAATAATTCCCAACAAGACAAACAGACCCAAATCCAAGGATGAAGTACTAAGGCAACCGCTCTTCGGGAATGAATGGATAAAAAACGAGGCGGACAACCCTCTCTTCCTAGAACAGAAATGGTTGTCCTGGATCAGAAACGGTATCTGGAAAATCGATCACTTATGGGCGGAAGATAGAAAGGGCTGGGTAACAGAACAAGAACTCAGCCCCCGATTGAAAGGCTGTCATAGACGAGGGACCAACCTCCAATACATTCTTAACTGCATTCCACAGGATTGGAAAGACATCCTGACAAAAGACGAGTCGTGGAGACCGGGTGAGTGGGGTCTGTTGATTCAAGAAACAACACCCCCGAGAGCCTTTCAATTTTCCCATTGGCAGCAAGGCTCACACTCTAAGGCCACTTTCTTCTCTTTCCCGATCTTCCCCTCCAATACGGATTCGCCGAATATCCTAAATTGCGAGGTAGAGTCGCTGGTCTTAGAGTCCTTCTTACTTCGGAAAGTAAGGGTCCTAGGATCATGGCCGAAATCAGTCTACACAGACTCTACAGGCCTGACACTTCAATCCGTAAGTTGGAGTTCGATCCAGCTGAATGGGCGTGGCCGCCAAATAAGACCTGCAACATAAAAACCAGAATCCCAATTCAGGACTACACAGTCAAACTTGGATACAGACTGTCTCTAAAGACCAAAAATCCAGACCCTATTATCAAAAACAGATGGCGGAACCTCGTCGGGCAGGAAGCAGACAAAATCACATGGATCCACTGGGATAAATTCAAACGTATCAGACCAATCAAGATTAGAAGTCTGCAGTGGCTGATTGCGTACGCAGCCCTTCCGGTGAACCAATGGCTACATATCAGGAGGAGATCTACAGACCCCAACAGCTCGGAATTATGTACAATATGCACTGAAGGTGTCGTAGAAGACATAGTTCACTGCCTGGTGCACTGTAAAGAGGCTACGGAAGACATAGTTCACTGCCTGGTGCACTGTAAAGAGGCTACGGAATACTGGGTCAAAGCCTCAACACTCTGGGACTCCCTCTTCTCCTCTCCCTTCCCCAAGCAGCCCATCCAACTCCTCCTCTTGACTAACATCCCTGTTCAGGCGCAAAAGGCAGAAAGGATCTGGTTTGAACTCATCAGGAAAGTGACTCTATGGGTCATTTGGAAGGAGAGATGCAGCAGGACAATTGAGGGGAGATCCAACCCACGGGAGAAGGTGTGGATAGAAACCAGATCGCTGATACAAGCTGAGATCCTCTGCAGATGGCGGAAGACAAAACAAGCTTGGACAGATGACGAAGAGCAACGTAACAAGGAGAGGCAGAAATTCCACAGGAATTGGTTGATAAACGGCAAGATTGCAGAATTGCGAGAGGACCGAATTTGCTGGAGGGAGTGGCATAACTCTGTCTCAGTAAGAGGCGTTAGCCACCTGGCAACTTCCCAGGGCATACTAGCATCCTAGACCTCAACAGAAGGAAAGGGACACATCAAAAGCCCAGGGGACACGAACCGTGAGGAATCAAGGGAGAGTTCAGGACCATTCTGCCCAGGGGTGAATCTGGGAGCATAAACAGAAGAAGGGTTTTTGGGTTTAGGGGTTTTTAGAAATCCTCCAAAAGGGACAGAGAGGTGTGTCGAGAAGTTACAGCCTGGCAAGGCCTCCGAAGGGGTTCTGTTTAGGGATAAGGGTGCAAAGGTAAGATAGACAGTGGAAGACAGACCTAGCCCTACCAGTAATTCACACAGATCTGACAGCCTTATAGCTGAGAGGCAGAGCTAGGGAAGCCCAGATAGTCCAACAGACAGACACCATAACACTGAGTTCACAACTCTGGTGAGGCCTTACAAGCCCTAGGTGACGTCAAGAGGCTAACTTAGGCAGGGGTGAATAATGGTACATCCTTCCCACGGGAAGTAATCAATGCCGTCCTTCGGGCCTTCCTACCATAAAGGGGAGGAGCATGTGTGAGTTGAGTACCCTTTGTAATCATTTCTGACTTGCCGGTGGAATAGGAACCGGACTGATGCTCCCCAGAATGGAAAAGGAGCCAGAACCGTAAGGTTTTTTTTTTTTTATAAAAAAAAAAAAAAAAAAAAAAAGGAGGAGGTTTAAATAGTGGCAGCTTGTCAATTGTCAATCGATTAAAGTGCGAGCAGGAGACATTTTCTGTATGGGCATGTGAGTTTTCGTCAAAGGAAAAAGGAAGAGTAACAATGCTACCCGCTTCCCCCGAACACAATGCACCCTCATTTTGACTGTATTGGGTCGGAAAGATAGTCTGTATTCAACATTCATTATCAGAGTGCGTTATGTTGGGCGAAGGCGGTACCATCCACAGTAGCAACAGACATAGTCTGTATACAACATTCATTATCAGAGTGTGTTATGTCGGGCGAAGGCGGTACCATCCACAGTAGCAGCAGACATTCCTTGTTGGGGTATGAGCCTGACTTACATCATTACATGTGAGGCAGCAGTGTCACAAGCATACAAAGAAAGAGGACGCTATGACAGACTGCTAGGTCATAGTGTCACAGACTTAACCAGAGGATGGAGTTGAGGAACTCTCATCTGCATTATGTCTGCAGCCCCCTAGCCGATAATACTGTCAATGTTAATCCACCTTAACCCCCGTCGCAGTTCGGCATCACCCACTGTGCCACAACGGATGCCCCGAGATGGGCACCAACCACTGCCGTCGAGGGTACCTTTGACGGAAATCGAAGCAGACTCCCATCCACACCAGACAGAAGACTCTACAGACTGTCAGATCACACCCCGTCATAAGCCACACATATGTGGATGCACACTGGACAGACAGTGACAGACGGTGTGTAGATACACACGTAATAGTTGTGACGAGAATAGCATTATAACCACAATATAATAATAAGTATGCACCGTAGTATTATACGTAGAATGGTAGACATATTAAAATATATGTAGTCTCAAAGAACCGGCTGATGAACCATACCTGACGGATAAAAGTCGATTTCCCGCCCATGTTTGGTCCAGTAATAATTTGAAACCAACTTTTTCCTCTAACCTGTACACCAAAGCAAGTCATCTCATAAGTCAGTTAAACGGGGAAATGAAAAAAAAAGACTTTGGAAGTTTTTGGAAGACAAACCAGAGCTCACACTTAGAGGCGAGTAGCAAAGAGGACTAGAACTGCATCCAATTGATAGTTCCCATTTCTCATCAACTCGCTCTCTCCTTCCTGAGAGTCCCATCCCTCCTTCCATCCTCCCCCCTCCC